GCTAAGTTTCCCAGGCTGGCTCGCCTCAGCCTCCTACGTAGGAAGGTTTATAGGTATGTGCCACAATACCTGGCCATTTTATAATTTTAATATTATACATTTTAATCCTATACTTTTAACTGTTCTTACAAAGTACCATGTTCATTTATAGTTTAAAACCATCTTTATTTGGTGGCCCTGCCTGTACCCTCTGTTTTCCATCTTTCCACCTGTTTACATTCTGTGGAGATTTGAGAACCTCTTCCCTTAATTTTTCACTTTTCACTAGTCTCTGATTCCTTAGAATGCCATTGAAATTTGATGTTATTTATATTATACCATACCGAACTGTGTAATGTGTGAATCTATTCTCACCAGCAACTCAGTGGAAATACCCTTGTAGAGAGCAGGGGCTAGATCTTCATACCCTTCAGCACCTAGAAAAAAAAGCAGATAAGTAATCAATATTTATTGAATTCAAGTGATGATTTTTGCCTTTTAAGAGAGTTAATGTGGGAATTGGCTATACTCTGGAAAAGGTTATAGGCAGGGGAAGAAGGTGCTACATACTGATATGCAGATGATGCCTGCATAGTTCTATCATTGCTAGGGAATGGCAAAGCTGTGGAGACCCTTTGAAGCATGAGGGCTAATTCAGAAGTTGTGAGGATGAAAATAGTCAACCACCTGGGAAGGAACAGAACACATCTCCAAGCCTGGTGGGTAGATGCAAAGTTGGGGCAGGGCAGGGTAATAAAAGCATCTTATGCTGAGTTTAATATTTTGATAATGTTGGCAGTGCCCTGCCAAAAGGAGGCAAGTATGTTCAGTGAACCCAAGGCCCTCTCTTCATAAAACAATAAAGGATTTTATATGTGAAAGAAAAAGAATGCTTCTTTGAACAGTATTATTTTATGTAAAATAAGCAAGGGCTGTATATTTCTTCATGTGGTACATGATTTTTTTTCATGTGTATCTACTGAAGGCATCTGCATAGGATAAGGAAATATGTTCGGGTGATGTTATTTCTTAGCCAAAAAGGTTTTTGCAAAGGCAGAGAACAGAATCTTTTACTATTTTTTTTTCACTTAAAATACTCTTGATTTCCTTGATTAAAAATGCAGATTTCAATTTACAAAGTCAGTTCCAGCAGGTATCACTCAATGGATGCCATGTGCCCACAGCCTTAGCTTCTCTTTTCCCTTTCATGTATGTCTGTCATGAAGCCTCTTTAGTTTTTCCTGGCTTATCAAATGCATGACTAAATTGCTTAAGTTGAATTCCCGCCTCTCTGTGCTGTATATTTCATTTTGTTGGCAAGATGTTCTAACAGTTTTCCTCCTGTTAGCAGAATTTATAGTAGAAAATTGGTAAATAATTCATTTTGGCTTTGCTCTGGCTTTGAAAAAAAGAGCCCAGCAGGGCAGAGATATTCCCAGATTATTTGGTTTCTGAAATTTTAGCAGGAATAAACAAGATGATTAGCTTGAATGTAATGCATAGTCAAGGAGTTAAAAAGAAATATTCTAGTTGTTGATTACAGCTAGCTCTACTAGCCCTCCCTAAAATGTAATTAGCTTTTGGAGTGATTCCAAATGGCTTCTTTGTGCTTAAACTTGCAAAATTTTCCAGTGCTATGTCAATATTTCAGATAGTACTTAAAGAGTTTATCAGCAACATGATCTGAATCCGTATGCACTACAAGATAGAGACTATCTCTGAGTTTGTAGATGTAACACATATTTTTTTTTAAGAGGGGACCTTGGGATAAGTTAATAGTCTTGACCTTCCTAGTGTTATAGCAAAGGAAAATGCTTTTAGTTCTCTGGCTTACTTCATTTTTAAACATATGAGTTACAGACTGTAAAAAGTCATAATGAGCTTTGGTTTTGTTTTGTTCTTTTGTTTTTACATTTTTTTTTTTTGTAGTTGTAGATGGACAGAATGCCTTTATTTTATTTGTTTATTTTTATGTGATGCTAAGGGGCAAGCCCAGTGCCTTATACATGCTAGGCAAGCTCTCTGCCACTGAGCTATATATAGCCCCAGCCGCATAATGAACTTTAAAAAAAATCTATATAATGACATTGAGATTGTACATTTAATATATATATATATATATATATATATATATATATATATATGTTTTGTTGTTGTTGTTTTTTGCCAATATAACATTGCAAATGTAGAAAATATAAGTAACTGAGGACAACTTTCAGGGCAAAGCCAAAATGTTAATTTAAAATTAAAATAAGTAATTCTATGTAACCTTGGCTGATATTCCATTGTTAAGCTGCAACCTAAAAATAAAAAAGATATATATATATATATATATATTTGTTTGCAATTTTTTTGCCTCTTTCCGCCTACTTAATGTTTTTATTATGAAAACATATCAAATATGCACAAAAGTAAAGAAAATGGCATAAATAACTTATACTTTATCTTCATTCATAACATCATAACCATGGCCATCTTGTTTCATCCATATCCAACACTCTCATCTTCTCCCTTCTCCCTACTTAATTATTTCAAAGCAAATCCCCAATCTTGATTTTGATGTAGTCACCCTATTTCATATGTGTATAAGTATACACATATGATATGTTTTCAAAAGATTTGGACTAGTAATATAACCACAATACTATGATCACATTTTGAAAGTTGATCATGATTCTCTATATCCAATACTATTGGCAGTCAACATTCCGATTTTTTTCTAATTTCCATAAATGATTAGTTTTAATAGTGATTTGCTTGAATTAACATCTAGACAAAATCAGCACTTTCTTTGGTGTCTCAGGCCACTTTCAACTTATAGATGACAATTATAAAGTATTTGCTTAAGAAACAGGGTCACTTGTCCTATGGTGTTTCCCACTTTCTGGATTCCCACATTGCATCCCTGGGAGTCATGTGACATATACTGTTGTTTCCTGTATGTATTATGTATGCCCTTAATTTTAGGACTTGATAAAATTTAGGGCTTTGTTTTTGTTTTTGACAAGACTACTCTGTAGCTGTGCGTATTTGCATCAGGAGAATATTAGGCTCTTCATCTCTCTTTCTGTGATGTTAGAATTATGTAGTCATATTCAGGCACTTGATTTAGTCCATTCCATCCATTATAAAGTACATAATCAGATTTTCACTTGATAATAATTTCAACAGCCATCAATGATTATTGCCTAGATCTATTACTTCAAAAAGAAATATTTTTTCGAGTAATTTTTAGGGGCCAGGGTATAACTGTGCAACAGGGTTGCTTGATTTTCCTATGGAGTTTCGTGGTTCAGCATTTGCCTGTAAAGCTAAATCCTAGAGAATCTTCTGGAAGGTGGACAGCAATGCCTGGAAGCTCTGTAAGGAGAGGAGACAAAAATGATGCCACCAGTTTTCTGTGGGGAAGACTTTTTATGTGACAGTTTCAAAGACACAAGCCTAAAAAGGAAAAGGTAGTTTTTCGTTTTTGTTATATGACAAAGTCTGGATTCCATCTCAATTCCATCATATTATTTGTATATTACTATTTTATTAAAAATTATAGCAGAGAGGAAAGTGTTGAGAAACCTCAATATCCCCACTCCTTCCACCCATTTCTCTGTTGGAAATTGAGGGTCTGGGCAGTGAATCATGATCTACAGTGACTGTCCCCCTGATGGTTGTGGGTGATTTTCTGTGGCCAACCTTCCAGGAAAAGGAAGAAGGGGAAGGTTGGAAGGTCTGGGAAGGGCAGCTACATTGACAGGAATTCAAGCTGCTTTGACTCTGAACTTTGGAAGGTAACTTAGAAAACACCTGATGTAACCTCTGTCAAGCCAAGAATCCCTCCAGGAGTCTGAGGAGTGGGGAACACTCTCTTCCCACTGTGTGCACTTACTGTATTCATCTTATTCTGCCTTTTCAATTTAGTGTGTTCCATTTTTACTACTGGATAATACATTCCACAAGGATAAGGAATTATCTAATTTTTCCCCTTAATCTCAAGTAGGAGTCAGAATGAACTTAGTTGAACATTAGCAAAAGTGTTGAAAAAAGATTTCCCTCAGTGACTGTTGACATTGGGGAAGGAGCTGAGTCTTCTGGTTGTGCAGGGAGGTTGGCCTTTTGAAAGGAGTTTGGGGGAGGGAGTGGTGCCAGCGCTTGGCAGAGTCACAGTAGTGAAAACTATAGAATTGGTCTGTGGAAATGCCATTGAACCAGCTGTGTCTGCTGACCAGCAGTTGTTAAGTTAGGATTCTATCCTCTCACAGAGACTGAGTTGACCAAGGCCGTATCCTTCCTAATGATTGCATTTTCAAGGAATGGCTCTTGGATCCTGAGAGAGATGTTTCTAAGTTGAAAGAGATATACATTCACAATCCTAAGCCCTTTATCATTATGCTCTAAGAAAAGGAAGTGAGGAGCCTATTGTTAGATTGACTAAAGAACAAATTCTCCTGCATTGTGATTTCTCATGCAGGTATTTTAATGGGCGAGTATATGTGTCAATCTATTATAAAAATGATGAAATATTTTCAAATCTATTGCAAGATTCTGGGTACTGTTAAGAAGGGACACTTTGAGCTGGGTTTGGTGGTACATGCCTATAATCCCAGCTACTCAGCTACTTTTTCCAGCTATGTTTGGCTAAACAGTAGAGTGCCCCCAAGTTCAATCCCCGGTACCTGAGGAGGGCGGGTCGTATGCTTTCATCAAACTTTTCTTTCCTGGAATTTATCTATGTTGTAATATATTTATTGATTTGCATGATAACTTTTAAATATATGCTATGAGAACTGTCTTCACTTCTTTACCGCCAAAAGGCCAGCATCTGACCGAGTGGCTGGAAGCAATTAGATCTATCCCCAGACGGCCACTTTAATGAATAAATGAATGAATGGCTTGACATCTTGTCTTGTCTTCTATAAGATAAGAATGATAGAAAAGAAACACTGTTTAATAGAAACACAGTGAATAAATGTTTGCAATATGTCCTGAGTCTGAGTTGTATTTTAGTAATTTTTTTTTTCTCCTCGTAGATTCCTTACTTACTCCTACCTCCTGGCCTTCAACGTGTGGCTTCTGCTTGCGCCTGTTACCCTGTGCTATGACTGGCAAGTGGGCAGTATTCCTCTGGTAGAGACCATCTGGGACACGAGGAACTTAGCCACTGTCCTTCTGGCAGTTGTGATGGCTCTGTTGAGCCTGCACTGCCTAGCAGCCTTCAAGGTAATTTCCTCAAAAAATCAAATGGACTCTGCATATGAAGATAAATGTTCTATGTTCAGTAATGTTCTTTTATAACAGAAGGTCTGGGTCTGAATATGGTTGTTCTTATCTATAAAACTTTGTGCGTTTCAAGTTTTCCTAATAGGTAATTTATATTCTAGCAGTGATAACAAATAATGCCTACCTTGGTTTTATATTTACTACCCACTTCATAGAATTGAATCTGAAGTTTTACAAACAAGAAGTTTTTTTTCCAACTATGTTGGCTTATTTTTGAAGTAATTTGTTTTATTTCAAGTAATTTATTTGATAAATCATGATAAATAATATTTATAAATACTTAAAATATGGTTAAGATTCTGCTTACACTAATGACTGACTAAGTAGAGTGATGATTTTCCTCTTCTTCACCTTGAAAAGGCATAAATCTGGAAACGCAGCCATTTCAGAAATGACCAAAAGTAGCAAAGAACTGAAAAATGTTCATTTACAAAAAACTTCTATTACACTGGTGAAAAATCCTTCTTGCTTAAGAGTGTTACCATCCTCCAGATCTGGTGGAAGAAATTCACAGGTTTACTATTTGGAATGGCTGATTTGGTATGGGAGAGAAGCAGGATAGCCAGAGATTTCAGGGATAGATTTTACAGGCAAGAAAACTATAGAGGAGCTGAGATAATATATACTGCATGCGTTCATAGCTAACTGCTAAGCAAAGTGTGCACATGTCACCAAGGAACACAAGCAGAATTAAAATCTGGGAGACTTACTTAATTACTGCAAGTCTGAATGAATTCTTGAATCCATACCCAGATTGGGTAGCAGAGAGTGAAAGCTTTACTGACTCGAGTCATCTCTATATAGCCTTTGTCCAAATCATTGACTGACCACAAGCCATGAAGGCACAAGAGATCCAGAGATGGAGGCAGAAGAAAAAACTAACAGAGCAAAAATTTCAGCATTTGGCAGAGAAACATATTTTCCAGTTTGAGTCCTGACAAGTTCATCAAATATTTTAAAACAGTAAAACCAACAATTTTACAAGAACAAAATAGAATCCAGAATCACTACAATGTATGACATATAATACCTAGTTTTTAACCAGAGATTAGTAAATGTAAGAGGAAATGGGAGAGTGTCACTCAAATTCAATGGAAAAACAAGAAAAGAAACAAGAATCAAAGGAAATGGAAAAGAAATGAAATTCCAGATTTAAACCCACATTATGTGCTGAATTGATTTCTTTTCCTTGGGACAAATTTGCCAAGGTAATTCAATGGAGGAAAGGATAGTCTTGAAATAAAAGATGCTAATATAACTGAATATCTGTAAGAAAAAACCTTGACCTTCACTTCATACTGCATACAGAAATTAATTTTAAGTGGATTTGTAGTGCTAAACAGAAGAACTAAATAAAACCAAAAATTACAAAGAAACAAGAGCAGAAAAATCTTTGCAAATTTGGGTTAAACAAAGATTTCTTAGAACACGTTAACTAAGCCTCTAAAAGAAGAAATCCATAAATTTGACATCATCAAAATTAAATTTTATTCATCAAATGATAATGTTAATCAAATGAAGAGGCAAGCCACATATTAGGAGAAAAACTTTCAATATGTATATCTACAAAGAACTTGTATCAAGAATATTTATAAAGCACTCTTAATATTAAAACAACAACAATAGCAACAACAAAACTGATTAAAACTAGCAAAGGTTCCGGTGGAGAGGGTTAAAATATGCTGTTCTGGCATATTGAGGTACAACCACTTGAAAAACTGCAGGTACAAAAGGGTCATTCTGATCTTCATGCTTTTTCTTAAAATCAGAAAAAAAATTTCCAAGGGAAAGGTATTGTACCTATACTGCAAGGAAAAGCAGTGTCTTTATCTTCCAAGAATTAGAAGTTAGGACTGAAAATTCCATTTAATTATTGATTCAATAACTCTTCTCCTTTAAGTCTTCTCATATAACTTAATTTACATTCTCATCTTTTCCACTTCTTTGACTAATCCAACGTATAGGTAACTGACTTTACTTGCTTTGGTGGGTTCCTATGCCACATAAAACTTACATTAATACTTTCTCCTGTTAATCTGTATTCTTTTTAAAAAATATTTGGAAATTTTCTAGTTTTCTTTAAAAAAAATTTTTTTTTAGTTATAGATGGACATAGTACCTTTATTTATTTATTTATTTTTATGTGGTCCTGAGGATCAAACACAGTGCCTCTTATATGCAAGGCAAGTACTCAGCCACTGTGCCTCAATCCCAGCCCTAATCTGTATTATTTTAATGTAATTCTTGGACCCAGGTAGACCCTAGATGGAGCTGGAGTTTTGCTGCCACTAAAAGACACCTCACAAAAGTAGATACACAGAGACCAATAAACACATTAAAACAAATGCTCAGTATCATTTGTCTTTAGGAAAATTCAAATGAGAACCACAGAACAATACTATTAGAATGAATGTCATCAGCAAGATTCATGATACTGTGTTGGCCAACCTGGGGCAATCTAACCCTCATATGTGACTGGTGGGAATTAGAAATACCTCAGCCATCTTGAAAACTTTGGCAGTTTCTTTAAACAGTTTAACATAACTTTAAGCAATTTTATTTGCTAAAAAGAAATGAAAACATATGACCACACAAACGTTTTATATTCAACTCGTCACGGCTGCTTTTTTTTAACAATACTGAGAAAATGAAAACAATCTAATGATCTCAATTTGTAAACGCACAAACTCAATGTAATAAATTGCTCAGAAATTTAAACAATGGAGTCATAAAACAACATGGATAAACCTCAGACCAATTATGCTAAATAGAGAGCTTTGCCAGACTTATAAGACTGTATCCTGAGGAACTTCCTTAAACCAAACCAGACTTCATCTTATCTCACTGTCATTCTGAAAAGTGCAGTGCCTGGATGTGCATGCCTAAACTGACTCCCTGATTCTGTCCAGACAAGTCTTTTGACTGCCACAAAATGACCCAGCAGTTTTCTATCTGTAGAGGCCCCTCATTAGCCAGTCCAAAAATTTTCATAACAAGGGACACAAGATCAGAGGACTTCTTTGTTCCATTCCTTAAATAAGGTTTTCCCTCCACACTGCCTTTCTGGAACACATGTTGGGTCCATCTGCCCTTGGTGGCATGTAAAAAAGTATGATTCCTATTCTTGAGTAAACACTTTCTGTGCTTATATTGTAGCCCAGTTCCACGATACCAAATGATTGCACTGGTATGAAAGTCTGGAAAAGGCAGAATTATAATAACAGACATGTATGTGGTGGTTGCCATTGACAGTGAAGAGTCTTGAAAGAGCTTTTGGGGATTTTTGCATGCTTTTTAAAGTTTGATTGTGGCAGTGGTTGCTGGCCCACCTGTATTTATCAAAACCCACTAACATGAACACTTAAAATGGGGGAATTCTCTTGTATATGAACTGTATCTCAATAAAGCTACAAAAACTTGAAAATGTTACAAATAGATTAAACACTAGAATGAACACAGAACTTAAATTTAAGTAAAGAATATAAGATCTGATCCTGAAAATTGGATTAAAAAACATTTCCAATTATTGAAACATCCTTTTTTAAGTTAATATTAAAGTAACATAATAGACAATTAACCATTTTAAAATGTAAAATTTAATGGTCTTAGTATATTCACAGCACTATGCAACTCCCAGATCTTTCTAGCTTCAAAGTTTTCTCATCAGCTCATAAAAAACTCCCCTGCTTATTAAGTAATCACACCCAACTCTTTGTTCCTCTGCACCCAGTTAACCTCTCATCTGTTTCCTGCCCCTATGGATTTGCCAATTCTGGATATGTATATAAAAGGAATTGTATACAGCGTGTGATCTTTTGTGTCTGGCTTCTTTCACTTAGTGTGGTATTCTTGAAGTGCATAAAAGTTGAAGCATGCATCAATACTTCGTTCCTTTCCAGGCTAAATAGTATTTCATTGCTCTTATATACTACAATTTGTTTACCAGTCCTCCATTGATGGACATTCAGGTTTTTTCTATCTTTGGGCTATTCAAATAATGCTGCTATACACATTTGTGTGCATGTTTCTCTGTGGACATATGTTTTTAATTCTCTTGGGTATATCACTAGAAGTGGAATTACTGAGTCATATAATAATTCTGTTGTTAACTTTTTGAAAAATTGCCAAACTGCCCTTCCCTGCTGCCCACAGTGGCTGCCCAATATAGAAGGGTTCTTTTTTTCTCCAAATTCTTGCCAACACTTCTTATTTTTTGTTATTTTGATTGAGGACATCCTAGTGAATGTGAAAAGATATCTTCCTGTTTGATCTGCACTTCCTCAGTGATCTGTGAGCATGTTTTTCATATGACTCCTGGCCATCTCTGTATCTTCAGACAAATGACTTTTCAAGTTCTTTGCCCATTTTTTAATTAGGTCATTTGTCTTTTTGTTGTTGAGTTGTAAGAATTCTTTTTATGTGTGGGATATTAAACCCCTAAAAGAGATTTGATTTCCTAATATTTTCTGTCATTCTCTAGGTTGTCTTTTCACATTCTTGCCAATGTCCTTTGATACCCAGGCGTTTTCAGTTTTTATGAAGTACGCGTTACCTGCTTTCTTTCTGTTGCTTATACCTTTATTGTCAAATCTAAGAATGTATTGCCAAATCTGAGGTCATGAAGGTTTACCACTGTGTTTTCTTATAAAAGTTTAATGGCTCTTGCCTGTATTTAGGTCATTGTTCCATTTTAACTAAAATTAAATTTTGTACGTGGAGTGAAGTAGGAGTTCAACTTCATTCTTTTGCATGCAGTTACTCAGTTTCTTTCTGTACTGTTTTTCTAAGAGTGTATTCTTTTCCCCCAAATGCCTTGTTTTAAAGTAAACATCTCAGTTGCATTTTTTATAAATTCATTGTATAAAGCAAGGATGATGTGAAACACCATTCTTGAAAATTATGGCCTGCGAATTACTTAACTAAACTTGAGCTCAAATTTC